CTGACCTGACCTGAAATGCGTGATAATGTGGGATGTTCCCACACTACTATTAATTGTTTTTGACAGCTGCTTGATTGATAAGCAAGATATGATTAAGCTACTTGACGATTTCTATATCTAATTGGATGTTTTTCGACCTTGTAAAGATCTTATGGAATGTGAATAAATAAATGAATGAATAAGGTAACAAGGTTTATAATAAGGTTATGAATGTGGAATAAGGCTATAGGTAATAAGGAAATTATGTGGTACAGTAAGGTGCAATAGGGAAGAACTTCACGATTGTATATAATAGTATAAACACTTTGATTTTAGAGAACTAAATAGGATAAATTATTTGTCTCGTCCAACTAGAAATTAGAAAATAAAGAGGTAAGGTAAAGCTCTCCCTATAACAAGCCGTGCGGCCCATAGGGTTGTGAGGTGTCGAGGCTCCCGCATTTCCTAGGCAGTCAGCTCATAGATGGTAGTGAGGTTGTCAGTGCCGGCCGCCCTTTACCTCCAGGAAGAATCCTGGCACTCATTTCTGTTAGAGGCTGAGTCATAATGGAGCTGGAAGGAGTAGGTCAACTGAAAAATCCAGTAACCTCGTCGGGATTCAAACCCTCAACCAGAAATCAGGAAGTAAGAACCTAATGACCCCGTAAGGACAAGGAATATAAATAGCCATACTACTACATTATAGCAACAGCATCAAGGCAGGGGCAGTCCGTACACATACCATTTGTAAGTACAACCTAATATATATCACTTATCATATGTTGAGCTTAAGCTCTCTAAGACATTATGAAGGTCATGGCTACATGACCCATCCTATTGAGAAGATTCCATTACACAGGTCCCCCACGCAGGAGTCGCTTCTTCTGGCTTAAAACCAGGCCTACACATAGCAGTTGCAAAGTGTTACCAACTAAACACTATTTTAATTTTCATGTTTCAATCTTTGTTCTCTTGTTTTAATTTTTTATCTTTACTTCTGTAATTTTAAATACAATTTATTATTTAAGAGTTTTAGCTTTAAATTTCACCCAAGATTTGTTATACATTTACATTTGAATTTAATTTTAAGACACAATAAGGATCCTTATTCGATGAATAAAATGACAGTTGATCGCAACTCAACAGCTCAGACTGGTGCATTGTATGCCTGATGATGACCTGTGAAAGGATCTCTAATAAACACAATAAAAGCAAATGTTGATGCAGTAGTGTCTTCTTTGTTTTGAATACTGATTTTTGTGTAAACGGTGTATTCCATACTGTGTATATATATATCATATATAAGTAGCCACAGTCATACCATGTATGTGCTATATATATAGTACACCACGTGTCTATACTTCGGAACTAATTTGGAGCTAGTAAACAAACCCTTTTTTGACATGAGCATCAGCCTCATGTAACATTACAAGTTAATGCCACATGTACAAACTTTGGTCCAGCCAACAGCCAGATTGTTCCTATAAGTAGAGATGGGTATGACTGGGTGAGATCAGAAAGAGAGAGTGGATTGCTGCATCTTGTAGGAGTTTTATCTGAGTCTTCAACTCGCTTTTATTTCTTCTGTATGAACTGTGCCTGTACATGCAGTAAAGTCATATCTGCTTTCAGCATTCAAAAGACTTAGATTGTTTACTTACTCATTGCCACTCTGCACTGTCCCGAAAATAAGCTATAAAAAACTTCAGCTGGTGGCATCATCATCATCATCATCATCATCATATCACCTTATGGCAGCTGTAGGATAGATGCCGATAGTTGACTGGTTGCTGACCGGAAGGGCCAGAAGGTCTTGAAGCTGAGGGACATTCAAGCCCGCTCCAAGGAGCCAACATTCCAGAGGAATCCTTTGGACTGAAGGTACCTGAAAGGATGCATCAGCTGGATCTGTGAGAAGAATCTGCCAAAAGTGACTTCTTCTCAGCCCAAGGGACAGCCTAGGTGACTGGTCATCAGCAGCAGCTGACACAAGAAGATCTTGGGGCACCCTGAGGGGACATCACCACCAATTCTCTTAACTTCAGCCTTCTGACCACCCTTCACTCTTCAGTTTCTCAGGTTAGTCCATTTCATTATGGCAAGTGAAGACAGTGAATGTATTTCTGTGGTACAGGCTTCAAACTAATTTTAGAAACTTTTGATGAAAACCGTAAGGATTTATGTGAATTTTGTGGGGGAGTTGAGGCAACTCAACAGGTTATTTACCCATCACAACAACCACTTTTATTAAAATTCAATTAATCTAATTTACCAGAGAGGCCAATGACTGAAAGACATACCTGGGAGCAAATCAGAGCTATTTTGGAAGAAAATTGCGCCGTAGGAACAACAGTTGACTATTATGCAGGTATGTTATTTACAACAAAGCAGAGAATAAATTAAACTGTAGCCCATTGGGGTTCAAGAATGGACAACATGGGAATAGACTTGATTAGGAAAGCAAAAGCTAGGATGGAAAAAGTAAATCCCCATGCAGTTGGAGGAACCATTCTGGTTTCCAAATTTATGAAAGGATCATTCGTGGTAGGATAAAAAGGATGATAGAATTAAATATGCTGTTAAAGCAAAAGGGGAGGAAAATTCATTAGCCCAAATCATAGAAAGAGCTTTAAAGGAAGCAAGTGAAGTGAAATCACAGGAATCAAAGTAGTTTGACTTGGCCGAACACAAGAAATTATGTAGTTTTAAGGACAGATTACAGACCCTGGACCAAAAGGGAGGTAAATGCAGTAGCCTCCATAAAGTTCTACAGATGCCAAGGGACAGAGCACGTTAGCAAAAACTTTAGGCCTGCATGTGGAACATGCTGCAAGGTGAGGCATGAAACCAAGGACTGCAGAGCAAGGGGCTGTCAGGGAAATAGGCAATAGGGTATCATAAGCAGCTGAGGAGAGTCTGCCGAGAAGGTTGCAACAAGGAAAATAGAGAAAATCAGGGAATGCTTCTGATTTTAAGGAATCCGACAGGCTCATAGGAAATAATTGTGAGGATTCAATAGGAATCATAGGGAACGATTCAAAGGGAATCATTAGAGATGGTTTATTGGGCCACTTTGAAATATACATAGTGAGCAAAGAATTAAAATGGGCTGTCATAGATTCAGGATCACAGGTATCATTGGAAAAGGAATCATCAGTCATAAATTTCGGTCAGGAGGACAAAAACCTTCAGAAATATGGAATAATGGGAAAACAATTGGAAATAAAAGGAAAAGTAAAAGTATAAATTGAAAACACATTAAAACCTTTAAGCCAAATGTACTATGTTGACAGTTTACCAAAGAATTTAGTCATTATCTTTGGGCAAGATTGGTTGGACAACATGGGGTATGGCTTTCAAAAGAAAACTAACTTACTTACTTACTCATGGAGCTGAGCCCTTCTGGAGGGGCCGCCAATTCTGCAGCAATTCCCAGCATTTTATGGAACCCGAAGGTTCATTACCGTGTTCACAAGAGCCCTCCACTGGTCCCTATCCTGAGCCAGATCTATCAAATCCATCCTATCTCTCTAAGATCCATTCTAATATTGTCCACCCACCTATGCATTGGTCTTCCCTGTGGTCTCTTTCCTCCTGGCTTTCCCACCAATATCCTATACGCATTCCTCGTCTCCCGCATTTGTGCTACATGACCTGCCTACCTCATCCTCCTTGACTTGATTGTTCTAATTATACTTGGAGAAGAGTACAAGTTATGAAGCTCCTCATTATGCAGTTTTTTTCCAACCTCCTGTCACTTCATCTCTCTTCAATTCAAATATTCTCCTCAAACACCCTCAGTCTATGTTCCTCCCTTAATGTCAGAGACCAAGTTTCACACCCACACAGAACCACAGGCAAAATTATAGTTTTGTATATTCTAATTTTTATGTTCTTGGACAACAGACGAGAAGACAAAAGGTACTGGACTGAATGGTAGCAAGCATTACCTGAGTTCAATCGCCTTGTAATTTCTTCCTGAATCAGGTTTCAATCTATTGTCGTTGTTCCCAAATATCTGAATTGTGCCACATTTTCAAAACACCTGTTTCCTATCTTTATATCATGATTTTGCCCTGCATTTGGTGACGAGACAGAACATATTCTTAGTTTTCTCAGTGTTTACTTCTAGACCAACCTCTTTACTTGCGTCAATTAAAGTTTGTGTTTTTCTTTATGGTATCTGCATTATCACTAGGAACCGGATTTTAATGCAAATGCCTATTTATTCCTTGCAACCAGAAAGTATGCTCGTTTGGATATATGTATGAATTACTTCATTTCTTAAATTTTGGACATGGTTTGATGGTGCATATAAATGCATATTTTGCCTGTTTTATGAATAAGCATCATATTTTCGAAGATCTCTATTTATACTGCATATTTCCTTTTTAAAATTTTGTCATATTTATTTTTTAATTTTATGTTCAAATTTTCAATCAATTTTTCTTTTCCATATTGGAATATGTTACATATTTGACTCAACATTTCGTCATGATTCATGTTTCTGATGCAATACCCAGGATGGGACTTCCCCGATCCCTCTACTCATAACTTGCCTCATCCGCGTACCATCAAAGTGGCCGCGAAGAGATTAGTCGGAAGAGTTCACATGTAGCCGCTATCAACGTAATACTATTCAACCGATAAGGGACTTCACTTATTTATTTCCGAAGTCTCCATGAGGTTCGTTACGCTTCTTCATTTGAAGGTGGGGGCCATTCACATTAGTGGTGACTAGTCTGTAGTTAAGTTTGTTTAGCTTTCTATAGTCATGCCGAAAGTGAAAGTAAGTCAGAAAACTAAATTACAGCTGTATCAACGGGACTTCGAAGGAGAGATCATAAGTACGGGTAACGAAATTCTTTATTGCCAAGCGTGTGAGAAAACAGTTGGTTGTGAAAAATGCTTTCAAGTGCTTCAGCATTTGAACACTAATATACACAAAGAGAATATTAAAATTAAATCCACGAAAAGTGCTCCTGTTCAAAAATTGCTTAGTTAATTTTCTAATAATAGTTTTTCACAGTTTTCCTTTGATTTATGCGAAGCCTTTTTAGCGGCAGATATTCTGCTCTGGAAACTAACCAATCCTACTCTGAGAAACTTCATAGAGAAGTATACACAGTGCAGAGTGCCGGATGAATCCACTGTGCGCAAAAACTACGTGAAGCAGTGTTACGATCTTACAATTGAAAGCATTAGAGATAAGATTGTGAGGGATGGTTTATTGCAAATTCTATAGTTGGATCCCTTAATAAGAATGAACAATCTATCCCATATCTTCTTGCGGTAGAGGAATTTGAAACCGCAAATAGCTCCGCAGTTTCTGAATTTTTTATCAATTCCATGAATTTACTATGGCCGAATGGCATTCAGTATGAGCGCGTATTGCTCTTTGTAACTGATGCCGCTAGTTATATGACGAAAACCAGTACTGCTCTTAAAGTTATATTTCCAAATATGACACATTTGACTTGCCTTGCCCATGGGCTGCACCATGTTGCAGAAATAATTCGTGAAAATTTTCTGCTTGTTGACAAGTTGGTGTCTTCTGTGAAGAATGTATTTGTTAAAGCGCCATACAGAAAAGAAGCCTTGAAAGCAGGAGCACGGAGCGTTCCACTTCTGCCAGAACCAATTTTAACGTGCTAGGGCTCGTGGCTGTGTGCAGCAAGTTATTATACCGGACATTTAGAAACTTAGGAATATCGTGAATACATTTGATCCCAAAAGTGCACCATCAATTCAACTTGCCCAAGATGTACTAAAAACGCAGAACTAGAAACTATTCTTTCCTATATATCTACTTACATCTCTCATCTTCCATTCGCCATTTCCTCACTGGAGGCAAGCAATAGCAATACAGTCATCAAGTGTGTTCAAAACCACTGTTTCCAAATTGAATTCGGTTCCTGGAAGAGTTGGTGAAGTAGTAAAGGAAAAAGTACACAGCATTCTTTCAAAAAATCAAGGAAATGAACAAATTTGTGAAATTGAAGAAATTTTAACCGGTAAACGTACTGAACTGCCGAGTAAAAAATCACTAACAGTGTAGCAAATAGCGGCTTTTGTACGTGAACCCCTAAGTTTCTGTGAAGTGGAAAGAAGATTTTCCCGCTATAAGGACATCTTATGAGACAATAGGTGGCGACTAACAATGGGAAACCTAAAATATTTAGAAATTGTAAACTGCAACAGAAGAGTAGTTGAAAGTTCAGAGAGCTAAATGTGAGTACCACTGGTTTTTTAAATTTGTAATGAAGTATGTTGGCTTTGTTGCATGGTTTATATTTAAGTATAGCTTTTTATTGCAAGTGAATCGTTCAATGATTACATAAAATGAACTTAAATATTGATTTGTTGGTCTTAAAATAATGTAAAATCAATTTAATATTTGGTATAAATTTTTATGTGCATATTTTAGTGCATATTTCGGAAGTTTTTCATGCATAAATGCGTACATATTTAAGGGGTTATTAGGGCATAAAAATCCGGTCCCTGATTATCACCCAGTAGATTCACATCATCGGCATAGGCCAACAGCTGATGTGTCCCATTTAATTTCAGTCCCACCTGGTTTCCCAGGACCTTCCTAATGGCATATTCTAAAGCAAAGTTGAAAAGGAGTGGCGATAAAGCATCTGCTTGTTTTAAACCATTCTGGATAGGAAATTTATCAGACAAATGTTTACCTACATGGACTTTACTATACGTTTCGTTTAAACACATTTTAATCAACCTAACTAGTTTCATGGGTATCCTAAACTCTATCAGAATATTGTACAGTACTTCCCTCCTAACTGAATCATAGGCTTTTTCAAAAGAAAACACTTGTCATAATTCCCCCATATAGTGAACGTATAGTAAAATGCAAAACACTAGAGAAAGATGTTTTATCCAACACCAAATCATCCAACCAGGATTAATTTATGCAGCTAGCATAGTTGACTATGAAACTTTTGAGTTTCCATGTCTAGTGGTTAACCTAACCAAGAGACCAACATATATGACAGCGGAACCTTTGGGTTCCAGAAACGACGAGTTTCTTTGTCCAAATGAGCAACTCTTAGCTTCTGAAGGACTCTGCTCTGTAAAGTTGTCACTTTTTTTGGGTATGCATGACTTTGATGGGATTTGGGTAGGATAATTGGATTTATTGCACTTATACACTCAACTCTTAACTACAAGTAATACAATGCTATCATTGATCTACACACTCTACAGTTCATCATGCATGCACGTGCACGCGCACACACACAAAATCTCTTTCTCTCTCACTCACTGTAACTGTAGCACACATGAAGCCTTCTTTGTATAGCCTAATTTCTTTCTTGCCATCTCTTCTCAGTCATCTTTGACTGCTGTCTTAAGAGACTCCCTTGATTATAATTCAGCTGGCACTGGATCCTCATTATATAGCCTTGGAGCAGATCTGAAAGAAAACACCATTTCCATCGTTATATCCCAGCAGTACTTGATTTGTTGCTTGCATATTCGTTGCCATGGGAACCTGTTTACCGAGTCATTTAAAAGTAATGAGACTGCTTTTTCTATAATTGCGGAATGCACATTAAGGAGTGCCCCAATATGCTCCAATCCTGCTAAGTAGGACCTGAGGTGCTATATCCTTTGCCCTGAAATTTGGAGCAGACACTTCTCTTTAGGAATCCTGGCTGGAACACAATAAAATTCATTCACTGGAGGTACACATACCCCAGCACAGCTCCAACTAAATTATCTACACTCTTAAGTATTAGGCCATCAATAAACAGTGTGTATGTTAAGTGTTACTCCAACTTCAAATACAAGAATGGACTTGTGAATTATAAAATGAAGTTGCTAATAAACCTGCTGTGAATTATCGGTCTGTGTTGCTATGTGCACGAATGTTTCAGCATATGAATGCAACTCTTGGTCACCCAAGTCATGGTCTGTCAACACGACCCAAGATGAGTGACATCTCCCCCTGAGCTAGGCCACTCTTGACCCCACCATTAAGGAGGACCACCAGTCTGTTCCCACTTTGGAATAACCACTGTAGCCTGAAACATCCACTTAATTTTCTGGTCAGCAGGAACCATAGAGTTCTTCAGAACCAACTGATCTTCTAATCCCACCAATCCGCTCAACCCCCTCCCCCCCCTGCCTAAAGCAACAAGTACAGCCTGTGTATGGAAGCAGCAGTGGCTTGTTTCACTTTAGTGTTGGTGCTGAATTTCTGCCCTCATAGCTCATGTACAAGCACTGGCAGTACCCATAAATTTGGACTGTAGGGTGAGTGTTCTACAGGTGTTCCACTGTTGTCTGAAGGGTGCCTTTGTTATTGCATGTATTATGCAGCTGCACATTATCTTGAAGTGAAAACCACCGTTTTGTCATGAACTCCAGTCTTTGGCTGAATAATGTTCCTCAAATGAATTTTAAGTGTATTTATGTAGTAAACACAATTTATAGCTTGCATCTAAGGTAGACAGTGCTGAAGAATAATGCCTTTTTTGAGTTAAGATAACAGTATTAGCATCACTTTTCCTGAGCTTGCTGCTGTGTGAAATATCTTTAGATGAGGTGGATCCATGTTGTTTCCAAACACACTGCTACTCCCCTTGTATGTTTCATCAAGAAAAATCCACAGAGCACACTTAGTCTTTAGTGATATGCTCTTGCATATGAAAATAATGTATCTTCTCTTTAGTTATTTCTTCCAATTTTAAACAAGTTTTTTGTAAAAGAATGTGGAGCCTATGATTCTTGCAAAATTTTGAACATATGATACACAGATTTCTTATATATTTTTTCTTCTACCCTGAAGATGGAGGCGATACGTTCCTCCGAAACGTCGGTTAACACCACATATACACGGTGCCAAATCCCAGAAGACTGCTTTCTTCATAGTCACCGCCGTGAAAGCCTCAAATCTTACATAGTTTACATTATTGATCTGCCAGTAACATCAGACAGGCAACCATGGAAATCTGTTTTGACATTGAAGAGGTTTCTCTCAGCTTCTGAGATATCAAGAGTACAGAAACTTGGATCCCTAGAAAAGCAATGAAGGGTCAATTCAAAACAAGTAGAGAACCCACATTGATGGTGACATGAAGAAAAACTGGGTGTGTGTTACGTAGAGTGATAAGTAATGAACACAGCAGTTCACTTGATAAGATTGTCTCTCGTCATGCTCATGTACATATAACTCTAAAGAACTTGTTAAATTCATGGATGTTTGCTGAACTCAGACTCTTCTGCCATCTAATGATCACTGAAATTTGTCAGCCAAGTGAAAATTCAATAAGCAGTGTATTGCTAGTTGTAAGAAAACTAATTTGCAATCATTTCATACAAGTGAAAGAGATCATGGAAAGATTTTTGATGTAACAACTTCAAGAGTAGCTTTAATATTGAATCATAAACCATTTAGCAAGGTGTAAAACATGCAAGTTCCCTCTGATCAGATTTGGCAGAATTTCCCATAAGGAACCATTAAAATTTCAGAAGTATTAGATTGGTATATGCTGATATGGAAGATAATACAGTTCAAGAGCAAGAATATTTGCTCACAAACTTATGTTTAAAACATCTAAGACTATTTTTAAGTGATTATCCTACAGTACTCAAGATAGGTAGAATATGTTTTAAAACAATTTAATTTTTTATATTAATAAATGATATTTCCTTATTACAATTTTGACGTTCTCAGAAATTTTGGGGTTAGGCGAATGATGACATGTATGAGGTGTTTGTGGTTGTTCTCCATAAATGAGTTATAAGTACCCCCAGAAACAGGCAGGTTCCCAATTGAAGTGTTATGTCTTTGTTGGAATACCATATAGTATTCCAAGCAGCAGTAGTAGGAGTTTGGATTGGTGACTCAATTTATTGACCACTTACACACCCAAGTACAAGTAATAACAGTGCCACCCCTGATCTCTAGCATATTCTGTCTTCAACAGTTATTCCCTGACAACTGCTTCTAACAATGGAGATTCTTCAGCTTCATGCACTCAAGTTCTCTCTTCGCACTGTACCATATAAAACTTATTTGGCTGCCCCAATTGTCTCTGTTATAACATCTCAGCACAGACCAACAGAAAACCAGGCTTCCAACAATATCTCAATTGTTGCATGCTTATTCTTTTCCACGGAAACTTGTTTACTGAACCCTTGCCTAGAAAGTTTCTGGTGTATCCGCAAGTCTCACGGTAATTTTATAGCTCTACTCACCACGATATATTAAATAATTTATACACTTATTACTGACTTCCTTTTACTTTGTGTGACAGCACTGCACATTGATTCCTTATTATTCATTGTGTATTCATCCATTGTACAGTACTGACAGTTTGGAAAAGTATCAACAACGAACAGCTGCATGTGAATTTAGGTTTTATTATAAGGGAAGGTAAGGTAAATTTGCCCTATGCTTAACTACACAAGCACCATGCCATGAAGATATATGGGGGAGTGGAGGTATAGCCCCATCTTTCTTAACCTTGGCACTAGGTGGAGGTGAGTGGTCAGCTTCATGCCCCTGCCACTTTACCCTCGTTTGAAAGACCGTCCCAGCGATACCCTTTGGATAGGAGGCTCGGTGGGCTCCAGAGCCGATCTGGATGCTGTGGAGAAGAGAAAAATCTTGCACTACCGGAATCGAACCTGGGCCATCCAGCCCGCAGCCTGTCGCTATCCCGACTTCTACTACAGGAGAAGAGTTAATTATAAAATAACAGCATTTTCCTTTATCATATTAGCCGAATTTCTTTTTCAAGCAACGTTAAAGCAGGCGGTACCTATAATCAGTGTGCTTCGTGGCATTAAATGAATTTAAAACATTATCACGTTAAAATGACATGTCACATGAACGAAGTGATATATCTTCTAGAATATATTTCTAGATAACATTTGGTTGCAATATTCCTAGAGCCAATTAATATTAAAAATGGCCCGTTGAACTGAACGAGAAATTGGAAATAGTAAAATGGAAATCATTTATCTATTAAAAATAATCCGGCTGCAGACAAAGTAATCCCTTAAGAGTTCTATCGTCTGAGATACAACGCCGTGCAGCCAAATGAAAGTCAACCGATGTTTCAGAGGAACTGTCTTCATGTTCCTGGTCGAAGAATAAGCCGAGCAAGAAACTAGCATGAAGCAGGTAACAAGCCGAACTCTACTTGGTACTTGGTACTTGCTACCTTGCTAACGTGTAGTCCGTTGAAAGGCAACCGACGTTGCGAAGAAACCTGCGCCCACACATTCAGGGTCTTCAGGGTCGAAGCATAAACCAAGCGAAGAACCATCGTGAGACAGGCACATTTCTCAGTGGCATTTGAAGTTCACGTTTGATAAGGCATATGTTCGCATTCATTTTCTACTATCGAAGCAAGGCAAAAAAACGAACTCCATGCTGTGCTGTGCTGTGTTGTGCTGTGTTGTGCTTAATTAACTGAAGACTATGCCATGAAGACATAGGTCAATAGGTATAGCGACGGTCTATGGGTTGGACGGCCCGGGCTCAATTCCCGGCAGTGCAAGATTTTCCTCTTCTTGTCAGCGTCCAGACCGAAATTGGGGCCCACACAGCCTCCTATCCAATGGATATCGGGGCTCATTTCCCCGGGCCTAAAGCGGCAAGGACATGAAGCAGAAGTTGTCCCCGTGCTTAATTAATTAAGTACTATGCCATGAAGACATACGGAACCATAACTCCATCTTTCTTGGACTCGGCACTAGATGGAAGTGAGCGGCCAGCTTTACGCTCCGGTTGTTTTAACCCCAGCACCCAGTATACAGCTACATACAATACAAAGGAAAGAAACCAACACACCAAATATGTGCGCACAACAAAAATAACCACGGCGTAAGGGGCGTCATCTGCACACGCGAAGACAAAACCATACGCGGCTTATGGGAACAACGGACAATCAAGGGGGAAAATTGCAGACAAAACAACGGGCTTGCATATGGAAAGAGTGAGCCGCTGCAATGTAAACCACTGAAGAAGAATACGTTGCTTAGACAAGTGGACGACGTCCCTTATGAGGTGGAATTATGAGTTTTATATAGTTTAAAATTTTAACGATTTTTAATTGATTTTAAATGCAGTCATCTATAACATGTAAATATATTAAAAGATAAAACAATTCCGTCCAGTGTGACTGGTGAAGTTTTTTATAATATTGTGTGACGGACCAGAATGAAACAAACCAAATAACATGTAAGATTTTATCTCACAAGAGCTGAGTGCAATTGTAACATTTTAATTACGAAATGTTCAGTTACACGCGTGTGCAATGGACAATACATAGTGCAGTGTATCAGGTTTGGCATAATGAGACACATGAGGATGGCCGTTTAGGGCCGAAACATTTTGCGAAAGCAAATATGAACGAACAAATAAATAATTGCATTACTGACAGAAAATTGTATGTGAACAAGGTAGAACATATCAAATTTTATGCAGCTAGCATCTATACGATCTATACTGTGTGTCTGGCAGGATTGCACGCAGATGGCCAGGCGCGGTTACTCAGGTTCTCTGCGGGATACGTAATCGAATGGGGGAGAAAGGCGTCAGGAAATTGTGTACCTCCTTGGCTACTAAATGAATATGATGGCGATAATCGTAATGTGGAAAATGTGTTTTTGGCTTGTGATTTTGCCTGTTTTGTGTAATTTTAACTCTTATGCTCCATCTGCTATGGGAACGAGGTTACGTCAATTTCAGTTCTTAATACATACCTTTGCGTCATCATTAGCAATCATTAGATTGCATTAACATACTTCCGATATGCATAAGCCGCTAGGAAACGCAATCATATATACACAGAATATTTCTTCCTTAAGATTTCATACAGAAAGTATGACGTAACCTGGTTCGTAGAGGGGATGGACTTCACTTTTTTTTTCCTAGTGGCGTGGGACTAAGTCCCTTGTACTGCGGCCACTTCTGGCCTATTGTACCAGCCCCAGATGATAGGTGAGGGTGATTGTGGAGCAATTGGTGGAACGAAGATTGGCAGGGAAAACCGAAGTACTCGAAGAAAACCTACCCCAGCGCCACTTTGTCCACCACAAATCCCACTTGATCAGACCCGGGTTAGAACCCGGACCACCGCGGTGGGAAGCCAGCGACTAACTGCTTGAGCTGTGGCGCGACCCTGGACTTTACCTTACTCCAGTGTATTAGACATAAGAAATAAACAGTGAAACTGATTAAGCAATACGATAGCTTACCTTTGTCTTCCTTCGTGATTCGAAGTGAAGAATTCCCAGACGAGGAGTCTTGTTTCTGTTTCTCAGAATTCTTGGGCCCTTGCTTGTCCCATCCGATTCGGTATTCATGTTACCATTGAATGAACTGATGAGAATCGCATCTTACATTGGACTTTCTGTCCTATGGATAATACTGTTAAAATATTTTCAGTACCATACCTTCTATTAGTTTATAAACGTGGCACATTAATTAAATGATATGTTATTCAGATGAGAAAATTTATATCCCAAAGAGCAGGTTCCTATAAGTACAGAACAGCTGATATTAATACAGTCCAAATTTAGAACAAAATACTGAAAGACTTCATAACGACTGATTTGTAGAATGACGTAAAGTCCACACGAAAAAGACATTCTTGCCCCTGAGGTGCATATTGGTCGATGTAAGCACCTCTTGCTGACGGACAGTTGTACAAAACAAGAACTTTGCTTATCCCATCAAGTTATAACACGAATTTACTTCGAAGCACATAAATTGAGTTACGTTTTAAGACTACAATCGAACCAATTAACAACAAAGTTTCTAAGTACATCACTCAAAATAACAAGTTACTCCAATTCCTTGAAAGTCTGCAAGAATGAACCTATATATTTCTCCCAAATTCGTCGAACACTCACAGAGCTTACGTCCTCTAAAACAGAAAATTTTAGATAATTGTGTCATATTCTGAATAAAATGTATTACTAGTATCAGTTTTCTTTACATAATTAAAGATAAATAGCTTCTACTCTGTACCAAAGGTATTGTATATTATACTCGTAAATATTGTTGGATAAGAAGTGCGTTAAAATAAAACCACCTTGTGAAATATCAGTCTTCACTAATCAACATACAGTACACAGTTCATACTAGCATCACTGACTGCCAAGAAACACAACCTGCACTTGCCTAAGGCTCTTGAACTCTTGAACTAATGTTAAACCTGTTCAGTTAAAACGAAATTACTCTGTATACGACAGAGACCACTACTACTACCGCCACTCTTCCGGCAGTGAGGGCGACTCACAGAATACCGAACACAGGCACTGAACGTACTGGAGTATCGGAAGTGGTTACCGGGTGGTTACTGCTCAAAAACCTTCATGTCACGACACACGCACTCTGGCCCGCCGGTAATACAGAAAACCCCGCAAGAAAAACATCGTCGATTTTCCTGTTCCCAGGTATCCAATCAATTTCATTTCGAATCAGAGCCGAAGTAGCAGGATTTGTAATCATTTCAGTTTTAAAATAACTACAGTTATTTTCTTTCTAATTGATTGATATATATATCACGCAGATAAGAAGCCGTTTTTAAAAGCGACAAACACAGGCGGTCTTTGAGTATGTAGGATATACGTATGTAAAAGGATTTACTCTATTTTGTGTAATGTATAACATGGAGCTGAATTTCAGTGCAATTATAGGAAGTTTTAATTGAAGAAAAATGTAAATATGAAACACGTAAAGTAACTATATTTATATTTCGTTGGAGACAGACGAGTCAAATAGAGAGGATACAGATGTAAGTGGTTTTCAAACCAGAAAGAAGGAAATTCCTTTCTTACGTTGAACGGATTGATACGGCGTTTAGTCCGCCCGTATTACACGACAACTCGAAGTATTGCCTACAATGCAGGTGCAGCATATAAGTGCATGTCTATACCGTACACGAAATTCAGGCTCCGGAAGTGTATTTATTATCGGTTTATTCTCCTTATTTGGGTCACGCGGTAGTGTAGTTTGTTGAGGTACTATGCTACAAGCCGGAAGGTTGCGAATTCGATTCCCGATTAGGTCATTGGATCTTTGAATTTATCTAATGCCTCCAGCCGCACTCTAGCCCTGGGGTCGACTCAGCCTCTAACATAAATAAGTATCGGGAATCATTCTAGGGGTAAAGAGAGGCCGACCGGTCGGTTCTTAAGGCTGACAACCTCGCCGCCATCTGTGAGACGATTGTATACAAATTGTGGGAGCCTCGACGTCTCACAATCCTATGGGCCTCCACGGCCTGTTACAGGGTTAGTTTAACATTTTACTTTCCTTATCTAATAAAATAAAAAGGAGGCTTATGAGAACACCTTTCTGTCTTCGTCTAACTCCGGAAATACATAATAGTGCAAGCAGAAAGAAAGGACCGTTACAATACCATATAAACATACATGTGACGTGACACGATTGTTGAAAGCCGGAAAAGTACAGTAGAGAAGTGGTGCGGAGGTAGGCAGTGCTAGACAACGGCTCCATAATTAGGCCTGCATAATCTCAGGTTTTCCTACATATATATAACTTTGGGTCGGATAGTAGAGAAACTTCAGTCTCCAACGATTTTTATATTTTAAAACTATTAGAGTCAGAGTTACTTTACAACTTTGGGCCAAGTCCCTTGAGGATTACGACCAGAAATATTTCTTTTACAACTGAACCCTTGCGGTCATAGTCCTTATGTAACAATCTCTCTGAAGAGAAGATGGGTTTGTCTCTTATGAATATGCTTGGTCTTTCGACAAGTGTATATATTGCACCAAAGCAACGGCGAAGCTGGTCGCACAGCGTTTTGTGTGGCCAGGCGTGCAGAAGGATTGCCGCACCTGGCCACATGCTTGCCAGTCCTGCCAGCGCTCCAAAGTCTCCCGCCACACAGTCACTCATTTGGGCGACTCTACACCGCCGGCAGCCCGATTTCTGCACGTCCACATAGACCTCACGGGGCCCCTTCCGATGTCAGCGGGCTACGCATACTGCCTCACTGCAGTCGACCGTTTTACCTGCTGGCCAGGAATCGTCCCCATTCCGGACAGCACAGCAGATACCATGGCACACGCCTTACTGTCCGGCTGGATACCTCTCATCGGTTGTCAGCAGACCATCACCATTGACCAGGGACGTCAATTGGGATCTCAACTCTTCCACTCCCTGGCCAATCCGTGTGGCACTGAGCTCTCACGGATAACCGCCCATCACACCTCAGCTAACGGACTCGAGGGACACTTCCACCGGACGCTGAAGGCACGCGGACCGACAGTGGACAGAGGCGCTTCCCTTGGTTCTCCTAGGAGTCCGCATAGCATTTAAAGATGACTTGCAGGCATCAGTAACAGAGCTCGTATACGGCGAGCCCCTAAGAATCCCCGCCGAGCTACTGACTACGACAGCCGACCCAGTTGATCAAGCTCACTTCATCACCCAGCTCCGCCAGCACATGGACCGCCTCAGACCTGTTCTGTCAGCTCGCCATGCCTCCCCAACTACATTCGTGCACAGCGACCACGAAAACTGCACCAACGTCTTCCTCCATCAGGACACAACGCGCCGGTCTTTGGAGCCCCCATACTAAGTGGTCCTGTCACGGAGAAAGAAGACACGGTAGGCCTGTCGCCATATCAACCGACAAGGTCAAGCCGGCCGACATGCGCAACGGGACTGCCAGCAGGAACATCACCTTCAACCTCACCTTCAACCCAGCTGCAGCACCACCTGCCACTCCACCACAGCCTGCCATATGAACTACACACTCCGGTTGCCATATCCATTTCCACACTAGCTTCAACATCTGAGCAACTCTCTCTGAAGGGAGCCACCTATAACACTACGCTGGCTTCTGAACCTTCTGCCTGCCTGCTAGTCTGTGTACTCTGTTAACAACAATAAATTTTTTGTTATAGAAATTTAAATAGTTGTCTTTCCATGCTACCAGGTTCAAAAGCCCACAAAGCATTTAGAACAGGTTGAGTAACTTTTGAATATATAAAACCTTGTGTACAATAATAAGACTTGTAATTTTGAAATGGGAACAGTATATTGAAAATATTACATCACTACTGAAGACTGTGACTTGCAAATTAGCATAGGAAAGATACATTGCCTAAGGCAAGGGAATGATTACAGTTAATTCTTTTTCAGAACAGTATTCAGGATTCGTGGTTAATAATAAAGATCAATTTAAGTTAAATTCTAAGTTATATAATAGGAATACAAGATATAATAATAAATTCCATTATCCTATATGTAAGTTGACTGTATTTCAGAAAGAAGTGTACTACCATGGATTTAAGGTTTTTAATTGGCTTCCTCCTAATATAAGGAACTTGGCTCAAGATGTTAAATATTTTAAAAAAGTGTTAAGAATATTTTTGTTGATGCACTCGTTTTATTCCTTGAAAGAATACTTTTATTGTAAATTTGACTATAATAATTAACTGTGATCTATTATGGTATTGAATAATGTAATGAATCTTGTATTGTTATTTCTATGTAGTGTTATTTGTACTATCAATGACTAATTCCTTATCCTATATGTAGTGGATTTATGGAATGTAAATAAATGAGATGAGAACCGACAGAGGCATAACTATGGAAATTAGTGGACCAATTGGCTATATGACGAAATAATTACAAAAATAAGCCGCAGCTGTTTATTTTGCTATATATCTAGATAGATACAGATAAAGGTATCTACCTATATATATGCATTGTGTTAATAAATTCAGATACATTAGAGAATTTTCAGACCGACTTATGCAACCCAGCCATTTTGCTGAAGAGGCAAGTTCTTTAACGACACACTGAAATATTAATATACCTGTGAGATTTTTATTTTACACTCTGCCTAATGTATTATAGTGAGAGTAATTTACTAACTGTACACGAACTAAAACTACAAATGCCAAACTCTGCACCCTCAATATCACATGTCACAATGCCTCAGATCATAATTCCTCAAATATGAATTTTTTGGACTGTCCAGTTTGACTGTATTTATTTGTGTCCTTTTAAATTACAATCTGTCAATGTCTATGTGTTTGAGGTTATTGCTACAAGATAATTAGTGGAATTATCACATTTGCTTCAAAGACTATTATAATAACTTTTTATTATTGAAAGAGTTTCTTTCTCTGTTTTCTTCCAAGTGCCAGCTCAGAAGTTTGGTCTCAGATGAGAAGAACGTACATAATTTGTTCAGGCCAACTGCACAATTCAGTGCTCTTATAAGAATATTCAGTAGAGGTGGAATGAATAAAAGTAAGTATCCACTGTGTCATTTTGTGCACTACACATCACACATGAACTGGCATATTAGTAAATAGAAATTGTCATGTATGATGTAGTAATTGCCTGCGCTGTGACACTCTTCAATAATTATTCCATTGAAAACTTCACCTCAGTGAGATCATTCCCTTTGTTTCTTATCATAAAAAGGCTGAGCAGGTGCTAGCGTAACTGGTTGAGGCACTATGCTACAAGCCAGAAGGTCGCAGGTTTGAGTCCCGATGAAGTAATTGAATGCTTTTTTTTTTCCAATTTACCTAATCCTTCCAGCTGCACTATGGCCCTGGGGTCGACTCAGTCTCTAATAGAATCTTTCTGGGGGTAAAAGGTGGCTGGCGCTTAAAGCTGACAACCTTACCACCATGTTTGAGCCGTCTGTCTAGAAAATGTGGGAGGCTCAACTTCTCACAACCCAGTTACAGAGATAGCTTTACCTTACCATTTTTATTATTAAAGACTGTAATTTATTTGGTGGTTAAACTTCACATTTTCCATAATGACATTTGTAACAGGTATTCACTTTTACATAGTCATAATTTTCATAATCTTGTTTTTACAGTAACTACAACATATTGCTCTGTGGATTGATGCCACAATAGCTTAGACAGTAATGTGATATTTTAGAGACTCACTGAATTCCCAAGAGAAGAGTTGCCATTTTCTCAACATTATGTCTGTAATGACTGATGTCTGCCCACTTCCTATTCAGTGGAAATCACTCAGCTATAGGAACCTCACTCTCCACGAATGAAAATGGCTCTAGTATAAAGTTAACTACTGTCTCCAGGTAGTGTAAATTTTAAGAATGTTTCAATCCATGTCCCCTATATGGTTTCATGGTATGGTGCTTTGGTCTAGAGAAAGAGAATAATTGGAAATTAGAGGGACTGTAAAGATTATTTTTTTTTTGTAAGTCTAAATCTTACTATTCCCTTGTGACTGGTTGCCAAAGATTGCACTACAGTTCACATTTATAAATTAAA